TCCCTTCCCTTCCCTTCCCTTCCCTTCCCTTCCCTTCCCTTCCGCAGCTGTCACAGCTTCTACAGCAAGCGCTACTCACGGGCGTTGTACCTGGGCGCCAAAGCCATCCAGCTGAACAGCAACAGCGTGCAGGCCCTGCTGCTGAAAGGTGCCGCTCTGCGGAACATGGGCAGAGTGCAGGAGGCCATCATCCACTTTCGCGAAGCAATACGGCTCGCGCCTTGCAGGCTGGACTGCTACGAAGGCAAGTGGCTGCGTCGGGGTAAATTTTGCAGTACCCTGAAAATCCCCACATGGTGGGAATCGAGCCTCTGGACCTCCTTTGGGGCATCTCTGATCTTCTGGCCAGAGTAACAGAGACCGATGGACATCTCTGAAGCTTTGAGCTTTCAACTCCTTGCGCTAAACCCTTTGGCGTGGCTTTGTTGCTGAGCCAAAGAATCTTCATCAACCTCTTTTGCCCGTCAGGTCTCATTGAATGCTATTTGGCCTCCAATGGCCTCCGTGAGGCCACCGTTATGGCAAATAACGTGTACAAGACGCTGGGAGCCAACGCTCAGACACTGACGCTCTTGGCCACGGTTTGCCTGGAGGACCCTGTGGCCCAGGAGAAAGCCAAAACCTTGCTGGACAAAGCCCTGATGCAACGCCCCGATTACATCAAAGCCGTGGTCAAAAAGGCTGAGCTGCTGAGTAAGTGACCTTCCCCCTTTCTGCACGCTGACTGGTTAAACCCAGCCCGTTTAGATGGGCCCCTCCGTTCCTGGGAGATGAAGGGAGCAGGTTTGCAACAGCTGGAATCTGTCTTGGGGTTCTCGGCTTGTTAGACTGCTTGTTTTTTCCTTTGCCAACAGGCCGAGAACAGAAGTATGACGACGGAATCGCTCTGCTGCGCAATGCCTTGGCGAACCAGAGCGACTGCATCCTGCACCGGATGTTGGGGGACTTTCTCGTAGCGGTCAATGAATATCAGGAAGCCATGGACCAGTACAGTATTGCATTAAGGTAACCCATCCGAACCCCTGTTGCTTCCGCCTCTTTCCCTTCGTTCTCCACTCTCCCTCATTTTCTCACGGCCACACATGCAGAACGGCCTTGGCCTCTTAAAAGATGTTTCTGGTGCCTTAGTTGTTCCCCGTGAAAGTATCACAAGGTGCTCTAACTGCTGCTTTCAAGGGTGAGGGTCCCAAAGGTTCAGCAGGTGCGCAGTGCAGAACTACGGAGGGACAGGATCGAAAAGACATAGAGCAGGCAGCCGGTCGCTTGTGGGCACCATTCAGGATGTACATTCGGGCTTTTAAAGTCTCGAAGGGTTAGGGCCTGACTGTCATGTCAAGAGCCGCCCCTTAGAGGAGGTCCTGCTTTGAGGCCTGTTTGTCGAATATTTCCTTGGGGGTTCGGTTCAGCCCCTTTTTATCCCATCTCCTGAAAAAGAGTCCAGATCTTCCTTTCAGACAGACCTTTTCAGTTGGATTAATCATAATCGCAGCTGTTCCTTTTTTTTTTTTCAACTTGATTTAAACTCTTCCATCTTTCATTTTTAATCAGCACCTTTATGGTAGAAGTTGGAATAATCAAAGGTTTCTTTCTGCATTTGAACCTCTGAGCGAATTCCCCTCTTCTTTCACCCCTCCCAAGGCAAACAGCTAGGCAGGCCAGGTGAGGATTTGGGCAGTGGTCCTCAAGGCTGTGATCTTTCTGTCTCCTCCCCCCCCCCCCCCCCCGCAGTTTGGATCCCAATGATCAGAAGTCACTGGAAGGAATGCAGAAAATGGAAAAAGAAGAAAGTCCCACAGATGCAACCCAGGAAGAAGATGTGGATGACATGGAGGGGAGTGGAGAGGAAGGTGACCTTGAAGGCAGCGACAGCGAGGCAGCCCTGTGGGTCGATCAGGAGCAGTGGTTTCGTGGGCAGTGAGGCAGCCTCGGAGGACGATCCAGCACTTAAGGCGCAAGGGATGGTCGGGGTCCTGATCTTCCTTGGCATGGACAGGAACGCAGATTGAGGGGCAGGCTGAGGCACTGAGCCATTAAAAAAAAAAGAAAATTTGATTTCTACATTGTGCTTGTAACGCTATTTATTGACTGTGCAGGCTGAGCGACTTGATTGAGGGGGGAGCAGAGACTGCTGTCAAACAGTGATGTTGAGTTCTTTCTAAAATTAGACCCTTTAAAGAAATCTAAAGCCTTTCCCGGACATGCGCCAGTGTTACAAATCGTTGCAAACTAATTATGCTTTATCCCCAGTGGCGTTAATGGTGGGCTGCTCTTCTTTCCTTTCACAAATGAGGGCTTTATTCAGAGTCTTTAGAGGCCCAAACGCCTCCAGAAACAGGCAGGAGTCTTGTATTGAGGGAGCAAAGCTTTTTCCAACCTTTTCCCCCCAACTTCTCCTGGGTTTTGAGGATGCTTGGCGTGCGTGTTTTTGAAACAGAAGCGTGCCACTTCAGGATTCTAATTGACAAACAACTTTGGAAAGCAGATATGGAGAAATCAGTCCTTTCTCTAAAGCTTAATGCATGCATGACTTTCCCTTTAAACTCTGCTGTGGATATTAGATAAAGTGAGATGGATCAGCGCCAAGGAAGGAACAGCCAAGAAAAGGCTCTTACTTCAGTTTCTTACCTGCTCACCCCAATTAGTGTTAAGCTTCCTCCCTTCCCTGTCTAGATTACTATTAAAAACATTTGCTCAGATCTGCTGCTTCAGACTCTCATTTGGCTCGCATTAAGTGACTCGGTCTGGCAACAAGTCACGCTGGGCCCGTCCTGTGAAGTTGCTTGCATGCAAATTGCATTCGGTGTTTTCACCAAGGGATGGGCAGCCAGACATCTTTTGCTTGACCTCCCACCCGGAACCTCTTCTACCCCCCCCAGAACTTTCTTTCTTGGTTATATGTTTGGGGGGAGATCCTTAGCTTCCCCCACACACTTCATCGTTGCAATATTCCACCATTCTTTGGGAATCAATTTGCACTGTTCTGTTGAAATACACTTTGGCTTCATTCATTTTGATAACTTATCCTGTTGCATTATTGCAACGTCCTCCACCACAATTTCTGCCTGTTGTAGAGAAGGGGGGGGGGGGGGGGGTGCATAGGAAGAGCTTGCATCTTGGCGGTTTCCTGCTTCACCCTTTCCACCCTGATTTTTTGAGAAAAAATGAAAGTTGTGCCAGCAAGAGTGCGGCATTTTACCCCAAATTTTGGCACATGCAGACAGTCAGTTGGCCCAAAGGCATTTTGGGGCAATAAAGAGGATTGGGTTTGACTTTGTGATCTGCAGCTGCCCAATTTATCCAACTTTAAAAAAAAGAGAGCAGGAAGCATTACACTGGGGAACTCCCACACTTGAAACATCACCTGATACTTCACAGGCATCCCATTCCTTCATATACCAGCCTTTCCCCAGCTGGTGCCCTCCAGATGTGCTTGACTGCAACCCCCATCATCCTCAAGTTAGAGAAGAAACCGCCCCCCCCCCCCCATGATTGCTCTCCCAAAGGCTGGAGAGGAGGAAAGTACCAAAAGGGAGTGTGTTTCATATGTGGTAGTCATGCAATAAAGTTATATACATCCTTTTGGCGTACAATTCTTGGTGAAATAAAGTTCATTACCTAACAGAGAATTAAATGCTCCCCAGAGTTAGCATTCCTGCGTTTATTTACATGATTGAATTTTAAGCTTAAAAATAAGGAACTTATTTAATCTTAGCAGCTAAAATAATAATTGCGCAACATTGGAAAACTGAATAATTAGATATGGGTTACCACGGCCTCTTCCATCACCGTGGTAGATCAAGTTAAAATAACAAGGCAGGAGCCACAGTTCTACCACACTTGGATGGCCTTCATGTATTCCTTTAACTGGCAATACTTGAGATGCACGTAAACATGAAGGTGCTTATAATCTGTTTTCCTCTCTACTCTGTTTAGTAGATTTCCCCCCTGCACATTACAGATTTATCTTATTCAGTTATTTGGTAACATTCATTCATTCCTGTTGAACACAAATAAGAATTAAAAGACCAAAAGGTTTTTTTTAATCTTAATCCACCAGACCTGGAACACACATACTGTACGTCACGTATGAATCATTCTCCCTCTCAGCTTATTTCATGCCGTTAAAGTTTTATAATTTATTTATAAATTATGAGGGCTAATATTCCTGCCCCCCGATGGGCGCTTACCAGCATTTGCTCGTTCCTAATATTTTTGGACAAGCTGCCTTCAGTCTTGCAAATTAATCACTAACGCTCTAGGGATGGAAGCGTTGGACATTTCACTGCAGTGACGGATGTTTATATCATTAAATCCATGTTTAAAATTACCGGCAGCTTTCTTCCGCTCTCCAGCACACAGAGAAACAGACCTTAATGGACTTGAAAAAAACAAGAGTCTTTTATCACAAAAGAAGCTGGGCTTTTTTTAATACATGGTTCCTTTTTGCAATGATTATAACTATTATTATATTTAAGGCCCTGACTCAGACGCCCACACCAACCCTGGCTACGCCACGAATTGCAGTCCCAGAAAGTGAGTTACTGTAGAGCAAACAGCTGAGAATGACACTTATTTCCCCTGCAAGAAAACGGGACAAAGTGCCCCAGTTCCTCTGAGCAACTGAAGTCTGCTAGAGGTTGGTTTGGTTTATGCATCTTTTCCAAGGAAGGGGCACTGCAGGCCGCTTACAGTGTTTTCATTGGGGCCCAAACTATCTGTAAGCAAGCCCCACAAATAGGGGCAGCCACTGGCCAGCCTTCTCTGCTGGAGGCAGGCCTCCGACAGCTGCCAGGGGTGGGCCACTGGGGGCCCCCTGGGGCCCTTGGCCTGGCCTTCCTCATTCGCACCCCTCTTGACTTACCAATATGGCGGGTGCTGCGCCCACTCCCCACTAGGGCCAGCTGGGTTCTCTGCCCATAGAGTCTGTTTACTGCGGGTGCCAGAGAGGCTGGCTTCTCTAGACAGTAGACTCTATGGTTGCTGTTGCTCAATGGGCTGCTCTACCCAAGGTTTTAAGCAGGGTTTCTCAACCTGGGCAGCTTTTGAGATGCGTGGACTTCAACTCCCAGAATTCCCAGCCAGCCACGCTGAAGTCCACATTGTGGTGCAGATGATACTGAGCACCATGGATCCCCACTCCAGCTATAAGGATGTTTGGCAAAGCTAACCACCTAAATCACTGACAAGGCACCAGACATTTTCAGCATGACTGTTTGCTACTACGCTATCCCGTCTGTCGGTTACTACCTTTCACTAGTTATTTCTATGCTCTTAAACTCTTAAACTCTGCATCTGCTTCTTCACAAGCATCACTCTAAAAGTCATTCCAAAGTGGCGGGACCCCCACCTACCCAACAGTTGCAAGCAAGGGCCTGTGGTCTAGCATTGCTTCGTACTTTGCGGGGGCAAACATGAAGCCCATGTTGGAGAAATGAAGCTTAGCGAGCAAAGAACACCGAAAAACGAATTGGAAAGAAAAGGGCCACAGAAGGTACGTTAGGCAACATCTGGAGGGGAAGGCAAGTGCCAAATCTGACACACCTACCATTTTGTAAGAACGGGCTACCAGTCTTACTGTCTTCTTTATAATCCACAGAGGTAATTAGTTTCCTTCTGGCTTTATCAACTTGAACTGGAAAGTGGCTAAATTAGCAAGGCATAAAACTTGATCCAATTACCCATCACGCAGGCCACATGGAACTCCAGCTTGCAGCGAATCTACCTGTTCCAAAATAACCCTCAAAGTCTAAGAAAAGCAAAGTATATTTGCAAGCAAGTATAAAGAAGGATAAACTGACTGAACGTTTAATAGATTTGGCTTGAGCCAAACTGGAGTAACAGCATCACAGCAGTATAAAATCTCTCTTAAATCTTTCCAGCCATTTAACTGCAAGCTGGAAACACCATCTTTTTATAGGAATAGCTTAAAATAACACATTATTCACAGCCTACAGTCCTCTGATATTTTCTGCCAAGGATTACCAGCAAAAATCCCAATATTGTAGCAATTACTTTTCTTTCTCTTAGGTTCTTCTTCTAAATGCAGATGCCATGCAAAAACAAAAACAAAAACGATCTTCTAATCCATTAACCGGAAGCAATAAAATGCAAATTCAAATTGCAAGAAGAATATAAAAGACGACATACTCAAGACAAAAAACAGCATCTAAGGTTGCACACGTGTGAAGGGCTCGAGTTTGTTCTCTTTCTGTTCTAGCAGAATGACAGCTGTGGCAGTGCTAATTTGGCTTCTAAATGCTCGAGGGGAGGTGTAATTTTATTGTGGCCAGTCACAAGTTCGAAAGATGTGGTTCTTTGCATTCCAGCCACTGCTGCCTTTTTAAGAACTAAATTACAACGGTTGTCATTGGTTGGCTGGTGAAAGAGGCTGAAAGGCGATCGAGTGAGTCATTTGGACTGTCTTCTTGCACAAAAAGCTACTTACAGGAACAATACTAAGCCACCTAAGAGCCCTAATTACTGGAAGCGTACAACCCAGGATTCTCTGAATGAGTATGATGCTCTTCTGGCTAAGCTGCAGAGGAACGGGAGCCAACCACAGAACGGGAAAATACATGAAAGGCAATGGTGTTATTGTAGAATAAGTTTTATTTTACCCGAAACCAGGATGGTAGTGTGATGCTCCATCAGACGTTATTTACAACTTCTAAAAAAAAGTCACAGATGCTGTCTTATAAACGGATCCAAAGTGCTTCCACTGCGCGGAGCCACACGAGGCCTCGGCCCTGCCTCGCCCGTGGAATTTTGTGGAGGTAGGATCCAGTCGACGTCGTCTCTTTGTCGACCACCTCTCGTGTTTGAAATCCATCAAAGAAAAATAAATGAAGGACAACAGGGTCTCCTGCTGGGTGGCGCTGGGAAGTCTCCGCCTGGAAGCACTAGAGGTTCACTCTTGTTCAGATAAAATGCATCACGACATGTGTATTGCACTGAATGTGTGTCTACGACTTTAGATTTAAATAAGTTACATTACTACAGTGCAAGAGGTCTATTTGCACACTCCAAGATATTTTAAAAAAGCTGAAGTTATGGAATTGAAGATTTAACAGTTTCTTAAAACATTTCAGGAACAGTACCATTCATCAATGATCTGTATAAATAGAATTGCATATTGTACAGAGCTGTTTAAACTGTTACTTTAAGATACAATAGAGATTATTGGCTACGTACAACTGAAAAGCATGCATTACAGTCTAATACTGTACATTTTATAAAGTATAACATTTTACACAATGAAATATGGAAAAGAAAAAACAGGGAAAAAACTTGGCCAGTCACCACTCGTATTTCTTGCTCAGCAGTTTAGGGAGGCTTGTCTTCATGCATTCCCAAAACATCTTTGCAGAGGTCTGTTTTATCAGTTAAAAACTATATTGCACATTTTGGTAGTTCTGTATATAAACTTTAGTTGTAAGAGCACCACACACTTCCTTCACGGAACACAAGTTTGCAGTTCAATTTTTTTTCTCCTTCGCTATGGAAAGGCTTTTTTTTTTCCATTTACAAGACTCATGCAGATGTTTTCAGCAGATGCGTTGCTAAAGACACATGCAAGAAAATTAACCTTACAATTCTGCAAAAATTTGTTTAGGACTAAATGATTACTCCAGTATCACTGCAAAGGAAAAAGAGAGAGAGAGAGAGAGAGAGAGAGAGGGAGAGAGAGGGAGAGAAAAGGAGGAAAACATTAGTGATAAAAGACGGATAAAGAAGGCTTAATAAAAGCAAAGCTGGCTTTTTTTTTTAAAGGCTTAGTAGCGATAGACAATTGATAATGACCTCCCATGTTCCAACAGGAGAATGCAAGTTAATGGGAAAAGAACAAAGAATTAAAAGCTAAGAGGACATTTAGAATTAGCAGCTCTCCACCCACCCCAAAGCTGCAAGCTGGTTAGTGGATCAGACAGGAATACAGCCAATTGCTGAATTGAGACACTCTTCAAGATCTGCTTTCTCTCGAGACCCTGTGGTTACATGCAGGGGCTTGTAATACTTCCCTTTCAAGAGCTTTTGGAAGGGGCTGTGCCCCCAAAATCTGGAGCCAACTGAATCTAATCCATTCATCCATATTCACTGCTAAGAGCTCACTCAGATTAAGGGCCTTGACAGCACAGGCAACTTTAAAACAGCATTGCTACTGCTGCCTAGCAAATTATGACTCACTTCAGAAATCTACCTCCACCTTCTGGATGTAGGGCACTAATATTTCTATATTCCTAGGACCCATTTCCACGTCTGTGACCAACAGTCTTTAATTGCAACGCTGTCGTAATCTGTTTGGTTCCCAATACGCGATTCCTTTGACCATCTACTGTGCTATGCAAAGCAACTGGATTGCTTAAGCTTTCTCCAGGTTTTAAAAATCTAGTCGTTAATTTCAGAGGCATCTGTTCAAATGAAAAGCATCTTGTAGGTTACATCTTGTAGGTTAGGAACCTGCCAAGAATGCTATCTTATCCTCACTCTTCACTTCCTGCCCCTGAACAGAGTTAAGTTTCTTGGCAAATAGAATACAGACTCAGAACAGCAGACCAATCTATTGACCTATTTTTTTTCTCCTGAAATCTGACAAGATTTACTCTGCAGCGCCCATTTTATTCATTCCCTCTTAATAAAACATTTTCAATTTGCTTTTTGCAGTATGCAAAGTGTGTGCCAGAAAGTACCCAGCTCTCTTTTTGGCTGTTGCGTAAATTTGCTTTTAAGCAATGAGCAGAGATTAGGGAAACGATGGTTAAGCAGTGCAAGATGTAAAACAAGACAGGTGTGAGGACACAAGACAGTTTGGATTATTTTACATGCCTCGTCTACTCTGAAACCCTCCCTGCCTTTCTCCTTTCATTCTGCTAAGTGTTTTATCGGTTGTGTCCTGGGAAGATTTGAGAAGAAGGCTGCATGTTGTTTTATTATCGTGAAGGTCCCTACCACCCTTTCAGATGCTCTCTGAAGAAAAAGTAAAGTTCGAAACTGAGCAGCTGCAAATTTGCGCACAATGCAATTTAGAAACAAAAACACAATAAGCCACATTCTGCTGACTTAAGATGACAGCTGTATTGTGTAAATAAAAAAAGGGAGAAAACAAATACCAGGGAAGCTCAGCTCTGGTTTTTAAAATATAACATCCTGCTGTCTGAGAATCAGGGAGTCATGGCCCAATGCACTTGGGGGGGGGGTATAATGACACTGGGTTGGGCTGTATAAAACATTTGCAAAATCAGGCCTGCAGAATAAACAATGTCCATGTAGATCTGTTTCAGTATTTTCTAACCCCAAGAATAAAAAGCCCACTTTTCTCCAGATGTTTTGAACTACCGCTCCCAGAATCCCCTTGCCATTTGGGTCATGTTCCCTGGGGCTTATGGGGCAACTCCTATGCAACTGCAACACTTCTGGAGAGAGCCCAGTTCTCTCAGCCAGCTGTTGCCCAGAAACAGAGAGACAATCAAGGATGTTCTTGTGCTTCACTCTCTTAAGAACTCCTTATAAACTTGTGCTGCTGGAAGCTGAACCATTTGCAGCTCTTCCCTCTAACACCAAACAGCGGATTTTTAGAGAGGCCTTGGATAAATTCCTGTCCAGCCTCACCTGGGAGTGAAGACCGATGATTACCTGACTCACGTTCTTGTGTGCGCAAAGGGAAAAGCAGCACAGACTCGCCTCCTTTTTTAAGTGACAGGCATGTGGATCCCCACAGAAAAGGCACTCTGGGTGTCCTCAGAGCATTAGGAAATAACCTGTCCTAGGCTGAGCTTCAAGAGGCAGGGTGTTCAGAAACCCCACTGCCATCGCCACGGCTGCCCGTGGTAGGACCTCTCGCCACAGAGACCTGGAGCGATGCTGCTGGACGAGCAGCAGAGAGACCCACTGGTACATCCACCATACAGCCAAGTTAATGCTCCAGGCACACGTCCCAAGCCCATTCCAGAGTCTCTAACCGCTTTCTAAACCGAGCGCATCCTGGGAGCGCAGGCCGAGCCTGGCTTTGGGCAACACAGGGCTCCCCTCCCCCTGCGCAAAGCCAGGCACGGGCTTCCCAACAGCACCTTTACCGCATTTCGGGGCACCTTTCGGACGAACGCCAGGGGCTGCCCAGCAAGACCCCACTTGGGCCTCCAACTGTTTTAAGAAGCCAAGAAGGGAGCACGGTCGCCTGCTGGCTCTGAAGGGGCCGGCGCGGGGCTTTAGAATCGGGCAATGACTCAAGCCTCTCGTGCCCCAGCAGCCTCTTGCTCAAGGTTCAAATCAGCAGAAGGGGGTGGGGGGCGTCTGCCAGCAGCCCCACGCTCCAAAAACCCAGGCTGTTGTGCTACTCTCAGGCAGTTGGTGCAGGCTAGAGATAACCTGGCACGGGAAAGGCGATGGAGCATTTATTTATGTAGTGCTTTGGAAGGGCACACGGCATACGCTATCTTTTTTTTTCGGTTTCTTTTAAATACACAGCACACCACCACTGAAATGGCGAGATGGGAAAGATACTCACTTCAGTCGATGAAATGTTGGAAGGCATTGGAGAGAAACACCACACAGTTAGACTGTTAATGAACTTACGTACCATACGGGACTCAGTTTGGAGAGGCAATAAACAGACATCATGCACAGACATTTATCACAATAGAACGATGGTGGTTAGTGCCACAGGAAAAATAAAAAAGAGTTTTCTATACGGTATGTTCATTTCGTTATGTGGTATTTACAGATTTTACAAAACACACACAAACAAAAGTTGTTACTTATTTGCTTCAGCGTAAGATGCGGCTAGCAGATGATACCTCACAAGGTGGCACTGAGAATTACAGGCCTAACCGAAAAAGAAAAATCCCCAGAGAGAAATCCAGCTCTAAAAAATCTGAGCAGTTTATTTCCAGCAGTTTGGTTATAAATGCCCCTATTAAACAGTAATGAAACAGAAAAAAAAAAAAAATCTGACACAAGAATTAAAATGGAATTTAAGAGCCTCCTAGGGTAGAAATGAAATGAAAAACAGAATTGTCTCAATTTTTAAAAAAAATTTATTCTTTTTTTTTTTTTTGCGCTTCGCTTGAAGTCCATCCAGATAGCCTTCTCCCTCCTCCTGCTCCTCCCCCACCCTCCCAAAGTGGGCAATGCTGGTGAAACAATGTTGTTACAGTAAAAATACATACGATATTTAAATAAATAATTTGTTTCTGCTTTATGTTTTTGTTTTTTTTTTTTAAAAAAAAAAACCAACCCTCTACATGTGTTGGGGATGGGGGAAAAAAAAAATCTAATTGTAGCAGGTTGGCTCTCAAATGGTATTTTCTGCACCAGCAAGACCAGGCATACCTCTTAAGGACAGAGCGTAAACAAGATGCCTCTGGAATCTAAAGTTAACAGTATGGAAAATGCAAAAACGAAACGAAACCAAAAAAAAAAAAGGAAGGGGGAAAATATTGAGGTAGCAGTATAATCCGCCCAGTGCAGAAAACACCCAACTGAATGACGAATTAGGATTAGATGACCCATCATGCGGCAGACATGAACAGCTGCATGCTTCTGGTTTAAGGGGGGAAAAACCACAACATTCATTCCCTAAAATCTGCTACCGATCACTGTTTTCTCAAAATAGCGTCCCTGCCCCCCCCCGGCACGTTTGCTGTTTTTACAAGGATGAGTTAACTATTAAACAGAACACTGTACATGCTTCTCCTCTACAAAAAATATTTGCATAAAATAGTGTTTAATTTCTCTGTACATGTCAATGGACACCCTCGTTTGTGTATAAAAGAGGGGGGGAAGAGGACTCCCCCACAGGAGTCAGGGGAAAGAAAAAGAAAAGAGGAAAACCCAGGGTCTAGAATATGGAACCTCAGTCACCGGCAAATATGTTCATGTGAAAATTCAGCAGAATAAGACAATTGCTTGGAACAATTAAAAAAATTGATTTAAGTTAAACATCTCTCTGACTGCCAAGCTACTATCCCTTCAGGTCAAGAAAAAAACATGTCACTAAAGTTAGTGTCTGTGCTATAAAGCCAAATGACCAACGGCAAGGACATGAGCACGAACGGCCAGGAGATCCCTTCAGTACATGCAGATAAAGGACGTGGTTTGGTGGCAGGCGGCCCACCATCTTTACCAGGTTCTAGGTAAGTACGCGCCACAAACTTAAGAGTCTCATCCAGCAGGATTACGGGCAGGGAGATTTTCAGCACCATCAGCCACTGGGTCACATTCAGAGGGGTGATCTGGAAGATCAACTGGGAAAGAGAAGGCAAAGGTCAGGCTGATGTTTGGGCGACGCGGCAGGTCACAGGAGCCAGAGGTTTGGGGAGATGCTGGCGGATCAGGGAAGACAGAATGGGGTTGGGGTCTTCCTTCGCTCTTGAATGGGGCCCGGGCCTGGAGGTGTCAAATCAATGGATCTGGAACAGGAAACCCCAGCTGGCTCGTAAGGTGCCACACGACCGGGGATGCGCTAACAAGGACACACGGTGTGTTTTCATTTCTGCCCAGCGGGTCACTGGGAAGAGCGGCTAGGAAAGGAGAGAACGCCAAGCTCTCCGCAGTTTCAGGCGCTGGGGTTCCGAGGCTCCCTCTGGCCCCCGGGCACGAGCGGCAGGGACTTACTGGCAGTGGTTCTACATAGAGGATGAGGAAGTGAAGCGACATGGACAAGCAAATGGATCCCAGGAGCCAGACATTCTCCCACGGGGGCATCCGTAGCAAGGACTGGTTCTCCGAGAGGCTGAGGGAGGAAAAGAGAAAGGGTTGGCTTCAGAGTTCACAGTGGCCTTCGAGACGGGAGTTACGGAGGTTTCCGCTCGACACGACTGCAGGGCACAAACTGGGGGAAGACTGCTCCGGTGGAAAACACAGTTACTGTTACTCTTCAAAAGAGCCCCTTACAACTTTCTCTGATCCCCACCCCACCTCCTTTGCTTTGCAGCGTTCCTCCAACAACGTCAACGGGTCTGTTTCTGATGTTCACAAGTCACGGAAGACGGGTGACACCTTTTCCACCTGTCTAGTACACCTTCCTGAATTTACTTAAAACCTACGGCAAAAAAAATTGAACCTTCTTGATTCTATAAACAGATAAAATCATGGATAAATTCTGACCTCAACATTGGTGACAGATGGAAAGAGGACGAGGCGCAAGGACATCTTTTTTATTTTTCATTTTGGATATGCTAACCTGTTGAGGGCATTGCACATCTCTATGGTGACCAAGACAGAGAGTGCCATCGTCATGGGATAGGGAGACTCAAACACCACACAGTCAACTCCTTCAAACTCCGGATTTTCATCGCTGCACTGCAGGAAATGACTCTGAAAAACAGCAGAAAACAACACTAATCTCAGTAAACCCCCTGAGCCAATTTGCTCCTGTATCCCAAATTCACTGAAGCATTCTTAATCGCAGAGAAGACCCCACGCTTTTTTAAAAAACACCATTCCTAGTCAGAATTGTATTGTTAAGCAGAGACTACTTGGATGGGTAAGAGGTTTTTCCACAATACTTGCTAGTGGTTTTTAATAAGACTTTTGAGGCTGTCTTCCAATGACATGCCACGTAGGCAGGCCGCTGCACATTGAAAAAACCTAAGCTCTGTTCTGAACATGGTTTCCAAGAACTGAAATATCAAAAAGGAAATACCAGCTGGTAGTAGGTAACTCTCGGGCCCCCGTCAGCAGCAATGAACCACCAAGCCGCGGCTCCCACGGTTGCAGCTCCCACGTAGCCTTGAGGAGGAGAAAAGGTGTTTTGGTTCTTGCTCTGCTGAATGACAGGCACCCCACCAATGGACCAGTGTCCTGGGTATCCCCTGCCATCACTCTGCATGCTTAGATCCCAATGACCAAGTCATCACAACTGGACCCTTTCCCACATCACATCTCTCATTCAGAACGCATCCAGGGAAGTGACTATGCTGTACGAGTGAGAAGCGTTGGGCGTGCGAAGCCTCGACCTGTGCAGACTCTGTCTTATCGGACACCGCACAACTGGATGCTGGTTGTGCTTATCCTTAGTTAACCACCCTGGCATTACGGGCTAAGAACAAGTCTAGAGGGCTGCATGGAACACAGGAATGGCAGGACAAGATCAGCTGGAGATCCTACTCTGGCAGAAGCAACGGCTTCTCGTTTGACTAGGCTGCACCTCCGAAAGAATAGCTGAGAGAAACAGGGAGGAGAAGCGGAGGCAGTCCCTGAGAACCAGTTCTGGTCCGCGGAGGCTATCTTCTATTACCCCAACATGAGTTGGGACCACTGGTTTCTGCTACACCACTGATTTCTCTGGATCTACTGGATTATGGGGCAAGGGAACAGCTCCGCTTGCGCTGGTTCCGTGGAACTGACGCAAACACTCACATCCAATCGCCAAGTAACGGAAAAAAAGCCACCCGGAGATCAGGGGCTCTTTGGGGTTACGAGGCGGCTTGTCCATGATATCCAGATCAGGGGGGTTGAAGCCCAGAGCGGTGGCAGGAAGTCCGTCAGTCACGAGGTTTACCCACAACAGCTGGACGGGGATTAAAGCTTCCGGGAAACCCAGAGCAGCGGTCAGGAAGATGCTACCCAAGGGAGGAAAAGGAAAAAGAAAACAAGTCAGCCATGTTACTGCAAAGGAGTGTCTTAAAGGGCGGTGCTAAGAAGTTAAAGCACAAGGACCAGCAGCAGCCCTCTGACTTTCAACGCTCTTGGATCGCAAAGGTAGCCCTGGGCAAGCGGCCAACGAGAAGGAATGCTCGGACGCTGCCTTGGAGGGTAGACTGTACTCAGCGAAGAGAGGTCTGTGGAATATCCTGGGTCCCATCCTTTCTTTCTAGATAACAAAAGAGCCATGCTCAAACAGCTCTCTAGCTTAGGCGACACTGGAACCTAACTGTCTATCTAGATCGGCCTGTTCTCAAGTGCCAGAGCTGACGCGCCCCCTAGGCGTCCGTCAACATCTTCTCTTTCCAGAGGCTGCAACAGCTACCTGCAGTGGCTGCCAGAGTAAATCCAGCACTTGCTCTGCTCCAAAAGCTGAGGGGGGGGGATACCTACCAGACCACCTCTCCGACATTGGAGGAGATGAGGTAGCGAATGAACTGCTTCATGTTATTGTAGATGGCCCGGCCCTCTTCCACGGCAGCCACGATGGTTGAGAAATTGTCGTCCGCAAGGACCATTTCCGAAGCTGTCTTTGCCACAGCCGTGCCTGATCCCATAGCAATTCCAATCTCTGCCTTTTTCAAAGCTGGGGCATCGTTTACACCATCTCCTGTCTGGAAAAAGTTTCAGGTTTGGTCAGGATACGCAGCCCAAGGCCTTAGCTTTGGGCCTCTGGGATGGCTGGGGCTGTTCCTTCAGCAGAAGGGTATCTGGAACACTTCCGAAGTCTTAGAATATGTTAATAAATTCTATTTTTATTCATCCCCTGAAAACCAAGGGGGGGGGGAAGTCTGAGGGCATACGTTTTCTCACAACCCTTCATCCCATCACACACTTATCTCTGCATGAATGGTTACTGTTGACTTGCGCTCCCCATAAGCATGCCTACCATTGCCGTGATGTCATCAAAGGACTGGAGAAACTCCACGATTTTAGACTTGTGGGACGGCTCCACGCGGGCAAAACAGCGGGCGTTCAAGCAGGCATCTCTCTGGGCGGCTGGTGAAAGTTCATCAAACTCCCGACCAGTAAAAGCTTTTGTGGTGACATCTTCATCTTCGCCAAAAATGCCAATGCGCCGACAGATGGCCACAGCAGTCCCCTTATTGTCACCAGTTATCATAATCACACGAATGCCCGCTTGTCGGCACAACTTTATGGATGATGCCACCTCGATTCGGGGAGGATCCAGCATTCCCACGCAGCCCACAAAGGTCAAATTGGTCTGAAAGGAGAGCAACACCAGATCTGGTTAAGGTTTCTCAGTCAGAAGGAAGCTGCATGCCTTTCACCAGCTGGAGGCCACAAACAGATTTACAATGCTGTACAGTCATCCTTATTACTTTATAAACACTTAATTTGCCACCTCTTTTTTCTTTCATTTTCATGCTTTAGAGAAGTTGGTCATTCCTGTTGATCGGAAAGCAGTGGGATCTCCTAAGCCAAGGATCAGAGGCAGATTTAATTTAGATCTCGCAGGTCTAGAGGGCAGCACCATCTGGGCAAGTTAGTGATGACACGCAGAGCTTTATACACAGCAAGAACAGGGGCTTCGCTATGTCACAAACTGCCCCCAAGGGACTGCCAGGCAGGTCAGATCAATTCTGTTTAGACTCCAATAATGAAAGCGCCGACTTGACATTATTAAACCAACCTCATAGGTGATGAAGCTTGCAGAATCTTCCAGGTCCATATCGTCCCTTCTTGGTGGGTTATCATGGGTGGCCAGGGCCAGACAACGCAGCGTATCTTTCCCAGTGCCCCACTCGCGGATGACACTCATGATTTTCTGCTTAATCCCTGGGGTTAAGGGCATTTTTATGTTTCCTGCTCGGAAATGGGTACACCTGTCGATCACCCCCTCTGGAGCGCCCTGCAGGAAAGCAAAGCAGAAACCAATTCAGCTTACAAACTGGCATTTTTTATCTTTTCATGGCAGAACCATCTGGGGCAAAACAACTCCACCCGCAGAGCTGCTTGACTGAGGAGATGAAACGTCACTTAAAGCCAGAGTCGTGTTTTGTTGTAACCCCCCCTCCACTTGCCCATCCGTTCCAGCACCCCTTCGGTGACATCTTCCGCCCCCCAGGGTACTTGCCTTCACAAACATCTTGGTCAATGCAGTCCGGCTAGGCTTGTTTGGAGTGCAATACACTGACATAGATTTCCTATCCCTGGAGAATTCTAGCGTGAACTCTTTCCTCATGAGTTGCTTTATCACCTGCATGGAGGAGGTAGAACTGTGTTGCAACCAACTTGCATGAAAAAAACCAGCGTCACACCAGATTCCCAGCATTTGAGAAGTACTGACCGAGTTGCAAGCATTTGCCCGTTCAATTTTGGACAATCCTTTCAGATCTGTGTCAAATACATTCATCTTCTCAACCAGGCAAGTGAGGGCAGTCTCTGTAGCTTCCCCAACTTTCTCATAAACTCCTTTTGTCTTTAATAAAAAGCTATTATTAGTACAAAGTCACAGAGTGTTTAATGATCACATACGCGCAAGATCACTAGAGAAACTCAGATATCCATGGAATGTCATTGAACAAAACATACACCATCTGATGTAACCTGAGCCTGTTAAATTGGGATAAGATCTCTGTTTCTAATGGTTTATTTGGTCATTTAACTTTTTATATTGTTTAACTGTTCTGAACGGCTTATGAGCACAGTAAAAACATCACTAGCATCCATTAAAGAATAAAATATAATCAATATGAAACATAAAGACCAGCACAGTGGCATTAAAATTGTATTAATTTTGCTAGGTGTGTACGCAGGCTTGCTCACACTGCCCATTTTAGCAGAGAATTTATGGGGCCCAAGGCTTTTATCACAGAATTTCCATTACTCATTAGGCTTGCTCCAAATTTCTTACACTCAATGCTATTCAATAGGCTCATTTTTTCTCTGGCACTCACAAGTTTCAAAACAGCATTCAAAATAGAATATTAACAGGTTCTTCAGTGAACAGGGTGGGAGAGAAAGGAAAAGCGGAATTCTGACACGAGTGTTGTGGCAACGCTCTTTCCTGGCATACAAGACCAAAAAGCGTTTTGTTTTGGCAATTCTCTTGAATGTCACTTACTTCATTGAAATCCAGAGAAGAATCGTTGCATAGGGCGCAGATTGTAGCCAATTCAATAAGGCCGTCATACATACAGCATTTGACGGGTTTATCATCTTTGTAACTGTTGCAGGGTGGGGGGGATCGGGAAAAAAAAAAAGACAGTGGAACTTCAGATGACTGTGAAGAATCACAATTTCCCAGCTAGCTAATCTGATCCTAGGAGGTTTTAGACAAATTGGATCAGGTAAAAAAAAAAAAAAAAAAAAAAAAGCAAAAAGGATGGGCAGGGAACTAAAACCTAAACCCTATCAAGAGAAATGGTGGGGACTAGAAATGCTTAGGTTTGAGAAGAGAAAACTGAGGGGCGATGCGACAGCATCTTTCAAATATCTAAATCAGTGTTTCTCAACCTTGACAGTTTTAAGATGTGTGGACCTTCAATCCCCACAAACTCACACCCCACCCCCCGCCCCGCGGGA